ACTTGTTCTCGAGTATCTTTGATTTCAGGAATCAACATGTCAAACTCTCAAGCAGTGCCTACCCACACAGACACCGACCTTGGACTTCATGGTGAAAACGAGCATATAGTCGCCCCAGGAAACGGAGTACCTCCAGTCAATTAATCCCGATGGACCACAGACTGTAGATCCAGTTGTTGTCAATTCTCGTGTTGCAATTCATGAAAATTTAGGCGCTGACCCTGAAAATAGTGTCCACATAAACGCCCGGCCAGCCAATCAGAATGCACAAAGTGGTGAAGAAGGCGGGATTAGCCTTCGAATAATTTGAAATGTTGCAGACTCAGCAAGCTGCGATAGCGCAGCTCCAAAATCAGATCGAGCGCCAAGCAGAATCGAACTTGATGCATCACAAGAAGTGATTCATAGGGTCGAGCGTATACCGGACAAATCAAATGATAACGAATCAGGAACTGACCCCACCATTATGAAAATGCTCGAGGAGCTCACTAAACGGATCAAACCAGGAGAAAAGAAAAATGAGGCTAACGATAAAAAGGTAGAAACATACAACTCACGGGTTGACCAAATACCTGGGGCACCCCCAATTTTAAAGGATTTGGATTCAAAAAAGTTCGTACAGAAGCCTTTCCCACCAAGTGCGGCTTCGAAGCCCATTTTGAAGAAATTTCGCATGCCAGAAATTTCCAAGTACAATTGAACCACTGATCCTAATGAGCATGTCACTTCTTACACGTGCGCGATAAAGGGGAATGAGTTAGAAGATGATGAAATTGAATCTGTTATGTTGAAAAAAATTGGAGAAACTTTATCGAATGGGGCAATGATATGCTACCACAATCTGTCCTTCGCCATGTTTGTTGATTCGTTCGTAAAGGCACATGCCGGAGCAATAAAGGTCGCGACTAGGAAATCAGACCTCTTCAAAGTGAGACAAAAGGACAACAAAATACTAAGGGAATTCGTATCTCGGTTCTAGATGAAACACATGAACCTACCCCGGTCACCGATGATTGAGTTGTCCAAGCCTTCACTCAATGGTTGAACGAGCGGAGTTCGATAGCATCACGACAACTTAAACAGAATTTGATTGAATATCCAGTTGTGACCTTGGTCGATATACATAATCAATATCAGTCAAAAATCATAGTCGAGGATGATCAGTTGGGAGCCCCTTCTGGCCGTTTATCCGAACAGATCCGAAGGCAGGATTCAAAGAGACATCGATAGAGAGCCCGAATCAAACAGAGATAAGTACCAACCATACAACGCATATCGTATAAACAGTGGATCAGGACGTAATCCCGTTCGGAATGATCGAGGGCAAAACTCCCGAGGACTCATGAGTAAAAGTGGCTTCGATAAACATGTCGAGCCAACGAAGCACCACGGTTATCGGAATACAACTTCAGCATCGATGCATCGGGTATTGTATCAGCCATTGTACGAATCAAATATACTAGATAGACCAGACCCCTACAATCCGACCCGGCTCAAAGAAACCCTAATCAAATATGCAAATACCATGGAATCGGTGGTCACAAAACCGAAAACTATAGGCAATTGAGGGAGGAAGTAGCTCGTTTATTCAACGAAGGTCATCTTCGAGAGTTCTTGAGTGACCGAGCTAAAAATCATTTCAGAGACAGGGATGCAAACAGGAAAAATGAACAGGAGGAACCGCAACACGTGATTCATCATATAATCATTGGTGGGGTCGATATTCCTCAAGGCCAGATATTTAAACGCACCAAAATTACAATCACGAGGAGAAGCGTACCCGAGACTACTTACCAGAAGATACCTTATCTTTCAATGAGAGGATGCAAAAGGCATCGAATAGCCTCATAACGACACACTAGTAATTTTTATACTCATGAATAAAATTCAAGTGAAACGTGTATTGGTCAATCCAGGTAGCTCGGCAAACATTATTCGATCGAGGGTCGTAGAGTAGCTCGTTCTCTAGGGTCAAATCGTGTCTGCAACTCGAGTACTCAACAACTTCAACATGGCGAGTGAAACTACCAAAGGGGAAATCATGTTGCCAGTAAATGTGGCCGAAACTATCCAGGAAACGTAGTTCCACGTGATCGAAGGTGATATAAGGTACAATGCGCTGCTCGGAAGACCTTGGATCCATAATATGAGGGCGATACATTCAACGCTTCATCAAGCCTTGAAATTCCCAACACCGGAAGGAATCAAAACAGTGTATGGCGAACAACCAGCAACCAAAGAGATATTTGCAATTGACGAAGTAATACTAGTATCGGCACTAACATCAACAAAGGACCCAAATCAACGGAAAAGAGGGAAGTCAAATAGCAACCATAGTCGCCGTCCTCGACCATATCAGAACTGCAGGAAATTATCGAGGATGATGATTGTATGATACCTCGAACCTTCGTAATCCCCGATGATTTTAACGCCACAAAGTCAACGGTTGAAGAGCTGGAACAAGTTATATTGATCGAGCATTTGCCCGGTCAAAAAATATACTTAGGCACGAGGTTAATTCCCGAGCTCAGGGATAAACTCATTAAATTCTTTATTAAAAATATAGATTATTTTGCTTGGTCCCATTTTGACATGACATGGATCCCACTGGAGATTACCACTCATCGATTGAGCTTGGTTCCAAAGTTCAGACTACTTAGACAAAAGAGAAGACCACAATCCGAGGTAAAACATGCATTCATCAAAGATGAGGTAACCAAACTTCTCAAAATAGGATCCATCCAGGAAGTAAATATCCCGAATGGTTAGCAAACGTAGTCGTAGTCCCAAGAAAGGAAATAAACTTAGAATGTGCGTAGACTACAAAGACTTAAACCCTACAACCAACTAGACTGTGGTCTGTAGCTAAACTTTCAAGACTTTGAACTCTAACCTATAAAGCAACTCTAACTTTCTAGAATCGTTTACCTACGAAAATACTTCTCAAAAGCAAAATAAGTTATTATTTATGAATAATGAATCAAGACTCAACAATTATAGATTAACATCATCATCTTCAGATCATCCGCTTCTTCAATTGTGGGGTGAAAACATCTTTTTGCTATGATCGCTATTTGCCGTCAACGATTCTGAAATAGTGTGAGCAACAACAATAATACGATGCTTTATATAGGCGTGACGATTGGCCGAAATACTCCTCCAATTTTTGCACCAAAATCTGGAAGAACTCTCGTAGGAAAATCAATATTCCTAAAATGTCTTTCCTTAAATTAAATCCCTACTTCAAACATCTTTCTTCTCATGCTAATGTTTCCATAAATTAAATTCTTATTGAATACGATTTATTTCGGCTAGTAAAATTTCTTGTAGCCCAAGAAATCAATCCTTCCATAAATATTGCTAAAGAATTCTACATTAAAAATGTATTTGCAGCTCTTGATCAATTATTACATACAGTTCATGATCGTCAGAATAATTTATTAGTAACACCAATTATCATCAAGGGCCCTAGCTCGTCAATGATTGTTGATCATTAAAATCAATTTTAGTTTGGTTCAACATACCTAAGACACAGTAACGAGGGCATTACAATTTAAAACATGGTTTTAATTTTAGATGTTACTATCTTCAAAACTAAAAACTCAACTTAATGCTAAATAAAGAAAGATCTTACCAATTATTAAATATTTGATCCCATTATGGTACTTAATTAAAATAGTGACCAAATAACCAGTTATTGTATCCTATTAACCACGTAAAACAAAAGGATAATTATGCTGAAATATTATTAAATTATTAGTCCTACTTGTGTAACGTTGTATGGTACGTAGCTGAATATTCAAACGCTAAGAAATAATTTTAAGTGGATTTTACTTTATAGCTAAAGTGTGCGTTCATTTTTATAGCAAAAAGAAAATTAATAAATGCAGTAACTTGATGTTACATTCTGTCGTATTAATATTGATCGTAGATCAATCAGCACTCGGATTCACAATTTCAAACCGTGCGTTTCATCTTCTAAAGTGAAATTTTCTGATACTAATTCAAATTAGTCGGACCTAAGATAGATACGTAAAATTAGGGGTGACAATTGATATTTAAAAACCGATCGAAAAGTACCGTACCGAGCCGATTTTTAATTTTTTTTTTATAATAAAACCGTAGGTTTTTATATAAATATATAACCGTACCGATAATTAGAGTAGGTTTTTTATTTTATAAAAATTAATCGAAAAATACCTAATCACACCGAATAAATTTATGTGTATATAATATATATATATTAAGTTTAAAAATAATAAAGCATTAAATTTTTTCTTTGGCTTTGGAATTATGAAAGTGGTTATAAGTCGATAAGTAACTAAACTCAAATCCCAATTCTCAAACCTATTATGCTACTCCTACTGACACTAAAAATTTTCCAGCATATTCACTAGCAAGACAAAGTATTCTAACAATTATGAGTAGCAAATTACAATGTATTGAATATATTTACTTCCATATGATTTAGATTTATCTTTTTGAATATTTAATCTTCTATAGATTTTATTCTTGAGTCTCAACTTGGTTAATATATTTTTACTCGTGTGATTTATATATATATATTTTTTGTCTTTGCTTAGTTTCGGTGTTATAGAATAATTGATGGATCTATACTCTAGCCATCTTTTATATTTTTATAATTCATCACCCTTTAAACAATAAAAATATCTAGACACTTTTGCTAAGTCCTATAAAAGTAAATATCTTATTGCATTCTACTTATACTAGTAACTTTTATATATAGTAAAAAAATCGAAAATTAATCAAACCATACTAGTACCGAAGAGAAATCGATATGATTGAGACGGTTTCAAAAAATTTAATTGACAGTGTAAAATAAAATAAAAGAAGCAAGTACGAAAGTCAAAGGGTAACGTGGACCAGCAGTCAACAGTTAATTTTATTTCTTTCATCAACCAACTGTAAACTGTAAAATTGGGTTCAGACAAAAGTAAATTTGTGTAATTAAGCCATCGCATAACACGCTACTTTCCAAATTAAGGCAAGCCTTAAATAAAAGGTCTAATAAGTTCGCCGGAGATATTGAAAATTCAATAAATTCGCTCCACCGCCGGTAGCGCCACCACACCGAAACATGGCGATGCAAACCGGCGTCGCCACTTCTAAAGTATTGATACTCGTCGGCGCAGGTAATTTCTCCAAAAACATACAAAGTTCATAACTGTATAGCTTTATATTCCATTTATAGTTGCTTTATTTTTAGTAGTCAATTGAAAGGAGGAAAAAAAGAGAGAGATTCGTTTTGGTTCTGAAGCTTGATGAAATTAGCTTAATTTAGCTGATAACTTGGAACCTTGATCTAATAGGAAATTAATCAAGCAACTTCGCTTTGTTCATAGTTAAGGGGGACTATATGAATTTTCTATATTCATTCTGCTCTATTGAGTTAATTGAGTACTCAGAGAATTTTCTTTATGACGGTGGCCTCCAGGCCAACTTGCATGCATTTCGACCTATTTCATCCGGTATTGGGTAACTCTGTCTATCAATGCTTAGGCAGATGGGAAGATGATCACCTAGTGTTTTCTTTTTTATGACAGTGGTCTTTGGGCCAACTTGCGCGCACCTCTACTATTACACTTGGTAACTGCTACCTTCCAACGTACGGAGGTACCAAGTAACTCTGCCCATCAAGGTTTTGGTAGATGGAAAGATAATCACCTACTGTTTTTGCATCCGGTGAGACTTGAACCTGAGATCTCGTGGTTCTCCTCCCACTTTATTGACCACTACGCTATATCTTTGAGTATTACATTGGTCGTTAAGCTATCCAAACCCTCCTTTATATCCAACCTTTACATTTTCTAGAGGAGTTACCTCTAATTGTACCGTAGAGCAGAAATTTCGTTACGACTCGATATAATATTGGATTTGGGGAAGAAAAGCAGTCTTAGATTATTAGCATCTTCAAATTTTTGTCGCAGTTTTTGATCGGAGTTAATAGTTCCTTCAAATTTTATAGGTTCTTTTTGGGACGTGACAAATTTGGTTGTGGTGTAGGTTTGACTGGGTCAGTCATATTGAAGAGTGGAAGATTATCTGATCTTATCTCACAACTTCAGGAGGTGATAAATGGAGTGAATGCGGCTGAGACATCACCTGGTAGATATGATACTGCTCTTCTAGCAGCTCAGGTATACATTTATGGTTTTGTTACATTGATCTTGTGCTTTTCGGAGTAGATTCATCAGATGTTTTGAAGGTAAAGCATATAAAGCAAGATAAAGAGAAGAAACATACAATTTTATTCAAGACATTATGTAATGTGTTACTTCAGATTTAGTCACATAGAGGGGGGGAGGGGGGGG